GCCACTGGGTCAGTCCACCTCATTAAGGTCTTCCTCTTTTTTGATGGCCTTGTACTTTACCAAGCATGATGTCTCTCTCTGGGGACTGGTCCCCCTAATAATATGTCCAACGTACTATCCTCACTTCTAAGGAACATTCTGGCTGTACTTCTTCCAAGACAGTTTTGTTTACTCTTCTGGTTGTCCAAGGTATATTTCATATTCTTTGCCAACACTGTAATTCAAAGGCATCAATTCTTCAGTCTTCCTTATTCATTGTCCAGCTTTCACATGCATACAGGGTGATTGAAAATACCATGGCTTGGGTCAGGCAACCTTTGTCCTCAAAGTGGCATCTTTGCTTTTTAATCTTGAAAGAAGTCTTTCAATATGCTATTTGATTTCTTGACTGCTGTTTCTATGGACATTGATTGTGAATTCCAAGTAAAATGAAATCCTTCACAACTTCTATATATTCTTTGTTTATCATGATGTTGCTTATTGGTCCATTTGTGAGGATTTTTGTTTTCTTTACGTTGAAGTGTAATCCATATTGAAGGCAGTAGTCTTTGATCTTCATCAGTAAGTGCTTCAAGTCCTCTTAGATTTCAGCAACCAAGGTTGTGTCATCTGCATACCACAGCTTGTTAAAGAGTCTTCCTCCAATTCTGATGCTGCATTCTTAATCATATAGTCCAACTTCTATGATTATTTGCTCAGCATACAGATTTGAATAAGTAGGATGAAAGGATAACACCCTAATGCACACATTTCCTGATTTTAAGCCACACACTATCCCCTTATTCTGTTCTATAGACTGTATCTTGGTCTATGTACAGGTTCCTCATGAGCACAATTAAGTGCTCTGGGATTCCCATTCTTTGCAATGTTATCCATAATTTTTATCCATAGCAATCATAATTGCTATGATCCACAGTCAGAAGTCTTTGCATAGTGAATAAAACACAGGTCAACCCTTCTGGTATTACCTGCTTTCAGCCAGGATCCATCTGACATCAACATGCTATCTCTCATTCCACATCCTCTTCTGAATCGTCTTGTATTTCTGGCAGTTCCCTGTCAAAATACTGCTGCAACTGGTTTTGAATTATCTCCAGAAACCTCTGGGGTCTTTTCTGGTGTTTGCCCACCTCATAGTGCCTAAGGCATTTGACTGCTAACCATAAGGCTGGTGGTTCAAACCCACCAGCCACTCCTCGGTAGGAAGACTGGGCAATCTACTTCCGTAGAGATATACCGCCTCGAAAACCCAAGGAGGGGTTGCTGTGAGTCAGAACTGACTTGATGGCAGTGAGTTTGGCTTTTTTTTTTTTTTTTTTTTTAAGGGGTATAACAGAACTCTCCCCCATGCACCCTGCCCTGAGGTTTCTCCGTATGATCCCTCTGTCTTTTCCGGTATCCTGCTGTTTTTAGCCTACTGAAAATCTCCCTTACTGCTTTTCAGTGAAACTACATATGGTGTGGTTTGTTCTGTTGTTGTTATATCTATTATATCTGTGGATGTGGTACAGGGGAAGATTGCAGTATGCGTTCAATTCGCCATATTGACACAGGTGCCTTCTGTCTTGTGCTTCCCCTTTCCTAGGTCTTTTTCTCCCTCCACTATTCTGCTCCAACTCCAAACACCTGGTCCTGCCACCAGGGGCTCAAAAAAACCAAACCAAACTCACTGCATCGAGTCAGTTCTCACTCATAGCAACTTTACAGAAGTAGATTGCCCAATCTTCCTTCTGTGAAGTGGCTGGTAGGTTTGAACCACCAACCTTCTGGTTAGTAGTCAAATGCCTTAGGCACTACACCACCAGAGTTCCTTACCAGGGGCTCAGGAAGCTGCTCAACCTTCTTCTTAGGAAAAGGAACTCAAGAGCATCTTGGTCCTCTTGGTGTTGAATAGCATTTGCCTCAGCTGCCCTTTGCATGTAACTTCTGAGTTCTGAAGTCAAGTCCAAAGCCTAGTGTGAGCCACCCCTCTAAAGTAACCTTTGCCCCAAATAGAGTCCAGCATAGATTTTATGAAAATAGACTTTATTATAATAAAACGTCTTTTTAAACAAATGCCCCCACCATTCCACACCTCTGGAGACCAGGGTGGAGGTGGGGGTTCAGTCAATCTCCCACCACAGCAAAGGAAACATGCAGAGACACTCACCCAGCCATAGGGTGGGGGGTGGGGTGGTTAGGGTAAGGGTGGGGAGTCCCCTACCCCACTCTAAACAGGGAATGTATGAAAATAGCTTCATATGTCTGTATTTCTCTCCAGCCCCTGGACTCCAATGGGGGCCAAAGGAAAATGATGCAAAAGAGTTGAATCCGATGAGCAAAATAAGGCAAACCCAACTCCTGCTTTCTGCCTGTGGGCCCCTGGGCCTTTGGGGTGCAAACCGTAGGGGGCCCAGAGGCCAGGCTGGCATGGAGGGGTGGAGCACTATGGGGCGGGGTTAGGCCCGCTTTGGCATGGCCGTTCTCCTTCCCGGGCCTGTGCAGTGGAAGCGAGATGGAGGAAGCTGGGCTGAGGCACTGAGTATGTACATATATACATGGCTCTGCCCCTCCTGCCCGGCGGGGAGGTGGGGCTGGGGAGAATCCAGTGCAAACTTTCCTTCAAGGGAGGGGAGACATGATCAGGATAACCAGAGCCATCGGAGGGAACTGACTGTTCTCCCACAGGGTCCCCACCCTAGCACAGTGTGGTGGGAAAAGCACTAGAGTAAGAGCTGAGAGTCTTATGTCCAGTCCTGGCTCTGTGACTGAGGTCTGGAGACCATGGCCAAGTTATTTCCTTTCTGTGGGCCTCAGTTTCCCCTCCTGAAAGAGGAGGGTGCCCATCAAGAGGATTCATCCTTAAGGATGCATCTAGCTCTGACCTTCATCAAGTCTCTTTGCTTCCCATCCAAGTGCCACAGTGTTAAATCTGAAGAGCAGGAGGCCTAGACTCAGTCCGGGGCCTTCTCTGCCCAGTCAGGGCAGATTTCTAGGGTCTCTGGGGCCTTAGGAGGCCACTTCTGCCAGCAGGATGGGCCATAGTTTCACTCCTTCTTCCCAGAGCCCAGTTTCCTGAGGAGCTGCTTCCCCTTGGAGAGGAGACCCCTCATCTTCTCGCTTGTACCATGTGGCTCCCCCAGTTCAGTCCTAGAGGGACTTCCAGGGCTGGGGGCATAGGGCCAGCCCAGGGGCCCTGGGGGACCAGGGGATGTACTGGCCCAGTCCTAGGATAGGAGAGAAAAGGGGCAAGGTCAGGGCCTGCCCCAGCCCCTGACTCTTTTTTTACAACCTCATGTGCCTGCAGGCTCCCACCTCCCAAAAGATTGCAGACAGCCAGAGGCCTCCTCTTTCACCCTGCCACAGCCCCTATACCACACAGAACACAGAGAGATGAAATGGTGGGATGAGTCCAAGGTGCACTGAGTTGGGAGTCCAACCAGATGCAGTCTCAGTTCTGCTTTCTGTTCACTTGTGACCCTGGGCAAGGCCCTTCCTTTTCTCCGGGTCTCACTACAGGGCACTGGCTGATAGCACTCAAGAGTTCTCAGAACCTGAGCCTGGGGATGGATGACCCCAACTTCCTACACATTCTCCCTGTCCCAGCGAAGGGAGGCAAGGATAAGGAACACTCAGAGACAGCCTTGTCCCCTCCAGTGGAGGTAGTTCCAACAATACCTCATAGGTGGCATCCAAAACAGCCCTGCCCAGTCCTTCTGCCTCCAGGGAGTAGAGCCAGTGCCCACTAAGTCTCTCCCTTGAATGGCCCCTGAGGGGACAGCAGAGAGCCTGGGCCAGGAGGGGATCTAGAGTCGGCTGCATCATTCAGCTCCCACCACAAGCCCCGGAGCCAGGATGACCCACTCTCATCATCTCCTCCAGAACGTCCCACCAGCTCCAGCTGCAGCCCTAAGCTTCTCCCCCAACCTCAGGCCCCCCCAGACAGTGCTCATTGGTAGACTAAGAACAGGGAATCAGGGAACAGGAAAGAGACCAGGAAACCCTTCCCCACCCCTAACTCACATATTCCTACATTCCCAAGCAACCTCCTGTGCCCGGCAGAGCCCTGTCAGGACCTGGCCAGCCTGCATGTCCTCTTCCCCACTCTCCTCAAACTTGCTTGCCACCCAGAGAATGACAGCCTCCTAGCCAGACCCAGCTGGGGGACCCAAACCAAGAGGCAGGGAAATGGCTGCATAGCCTAGGACCGCAACTACCCCCAAGGCCCTGGGTTATGTGGTAGGCCTTGCCCACAGAGATGCCTGTGCATCTACTGCCAGCCAAGCAGGGCTTCGGGGCCAGTCTGGGAAGCTCCCAGGTCCTTCCTACTCCTCCCAGGACACCTTCTCCAGCATCCCCAGGAGGGAGGGGTTGTTGGGAAAACAAAAGAAGGGGCTCTCGGAGCCCTGGAGAATAGTCTGGAGTTACCTATGGATTCCAATTATTTGAGCTCTCCTTTCTATCCCCCAAAGCAGAGAAAAGTGAGAGTTAGAAGTAAAATCATACATCTCATCACCCAGCCAGGTCATGATACAGAAGACAAGGGTGGGGACACTATTATTACTGGTGACATTACAGAGTCATCTTTCCAACACCAATAATAATCACAGTAGTATAATACTATAGTCATATAGTATCATAATATGCTGACAAGGTGGAACATGCATGTCACGTAATATTCTATAAGTGGCATGTGTTATAGAATATGAGGAGTCAGCTAACATGAGATGTCACATACTAGGATGACTTAATTATTCCCACAACAGCTAGCACTGCCCAGGCTAAAGGCAAGCCAAGGGGAGCAGAGACAGGCTGGAGAATGAACCTGTACCCAAATCTGGCTCGAGGCAAGATCTCTCTCCCCCATTCTCTGGGAGAAAGGAGAAGAGCGAGTTGAGCTCCGGTATCTGAGGCAGAGAAGCACTATTTGATTGTGGTGAAATGGGAAGGAGGGTGCATGGGATGTGGCAGGGCCAGTCGCCCACTTACATGTTGCTCTCTCTACATATATCTACCTCCAGCTAGCACTGGACTCTTCTCCTCCTCATTCTCTGAGAACAGGGAACAAAGACAGGAGATGCGTTACCGACAGACCTGCCCGCTCTCCATCCAGTCACCCAGGTCACGGGGGCTTGACCTCTTTGAGAGCTCTCGGCATTTAGAACTAAGTGCAGATGGAAGCCCATGGTTTTCTGGTCAGGGCCTGGCCCCTCACCCTCTGCTGGCGCTCTGAGACTGGAGGCTTAATTGTACCTCACCCACTCCGAGGAGAGGCAAGCTCTAAGAATGAGAACCCCGAACTCTGGCCTTTAAAATCTGAGGAAGACGGAGATGCTGCAAGGAGGGAGAACTTGAAATGGACACTATGATTGGTATAGAGGTGTGTGTGTGTAGGGGGGGCCAGAAGATTCTTTCTCACAAGGTGCCCCCCCATTCCCTGCACTATATCAGACCAGGATGTGGACAGCAGGGGTGATGGCCTGGAGATCAGTGTTGCAGCCATTACCCCTCTGCACATACCCCAACTTCCAGCTACCATGAAGGAGTTGCCCCTGCTGGCGACCCTCTGGCCGTAACTCAGCAGCTTCTTCCTTGGGGCAGTGTTTGCCTGTTATTACCACCTTAGCTGTCCCTCCCACAACATTGTCCCAGTCCCCACCACCCCAGCAGGGCAGAGACCCCCACTGTTGAGCTGGGTGCCCAGCTCCTCACTGACCTGACTCTCGGCTGCAGTTGTCCCAGGCTCCCTGTCCAGACTACCTGCCGCAGGTCCAGGACCCTCCAGAAAGTTGGATGGAACAAGACCCCTTTGTCCATTCAGTTCACCCTGAGGAGGAGATGCTGGTGAGACGGAGGCTAGGGAAGAAGTTGGACTCTCTCTCCTCCTGAGCCCCCCAGGCCTGCCCCATTGACCCTGAAGCCCCTGAAGGAATGTCATTATCATGGAAGGTGACCTCATCTATTACACCAGGCTTTCATCAGGAACCCTTGCCCACCCCCAACCTCCCCCAGAGCTCTCTGTGAAGGGGCTGGTGAGGTGGAGTGCAGTGCACCCCCATGTTCTCACATAGTAGAAACCATCATCATCCATGCTCCCGAACACGGTGATGACGTCCCCTGCTTGGAAGGGCAGCTCTGCCTGTAGAGAGACCAAGGGCAGGTGTCAGGTCCTGGGAGGCCTTGCCTCCACCTCTCTTCATGTGAGTTCTGTCTGAGGGTCCGCACCTCCACATCCATGTTGGGGGAGTTCTCCTGGGGGTTGTAGTCAAATGCAGCCACCATGGGGCGGGGAGCTTTCAGGCCAGAAGAGGAGACCGAGTTAGGGGGGCCTGTCAGGGGAAGAAGAGAAGGCTCAGGCTTCTTTCTAGACTCCACCCCACCCCACCCCATCCACTGCACTAGGGCTCACTGACCCTCATTCACCACCCCACTAGTAATAGCTCCGGGAGAGAGGCCAGAGGGTCTGCCCATCCCACCTCTTTGCCCAGTCCCCTCTGCCAAAGGATGGCCCCCCACCTGGACAGGGATGAGCAGGGCCTTCTGACTCAGCTGTGGAAAGAGTGTGCTGTGAGCCCCGCTCCCCACTTCCCACCTCACTCCACGCTGGGGTGGTGCAGGACAGGCAGGGTGCGTGCCCTCTCACAAAGGGTATCGTGGGGAGGACCCTCGGGGAGCATATAACTCCAGTCTGGTGGCAAATTGAGGTCCGGGGGATGGATAAGGGACATGCTCAATTACATAGAATTCAAAGTCCAGGGCTCTTTTGAGCAGAGGTCCTGGCCATCTACCCTCATCCCCTCACTGGGCAGGAGGAAGAGGGTAAAGGTCTGCCCTTATTCCCTTTACCTGCCCCCCGCCAGAGAGCCAAGCAGTGCCACCGTCACCCCCACCCAGTACACATGCTCACAGGCACCAAGGGGGAGAGGAGTCTCACCCACCTTTCTTGGAGCGGCGGGGCTTGGGGGGCGGCCCAGCTGTGTGGGCTGTGGAGTACACAAAGGGACCGTTCCCTGATCCAGGAAGGCAAGGAGGTGTCAGAGAGAAACTGAGGCAGGGGATGTGGGGGTCAGGACAGAGACTCTGGGAGCCTCCTCAGGGCTGGGTCAGGTTTTTTAAGGGCATTCTTTCCCCATCTCCAGCACAGAGCCCCATCCTAATTAATCTCTAGGACCCAAAATACACGGGGAGCATCAGAGTATTGTGAACAGGCCCATCCCTCCGCAACAGACTCCTAAGCCACCTGGCGAGCCCACAGCAAGGGCGTATTTGCTGTAGTCTCCACAAGGCCCTGGAGGCCTGCAGGGCCTTGGATAAATGAGGCACCCCGGCCACTCCAGACATACAAGCTCTCAGCATGGGGCTGGGTTGGAACAGGGAAGTGGGAGGTGGGTGAAGGATAACAGTAGGTCATACCTGAGCCCTCAGTGAGGACATCTGGGGACAAGTAACCCCGCTGGAGCAGCTGCTGTCTCTCCGCAGGGCTGTCCACAGCCACCTCTGCCACCATGTTGCAGGGGATGTAGCCCATCCGGCCCCCACCTTCGCCCCGGTAGAAGCCATCTGCATCCTTGTCCCCAAACACCTGGAGACAAAGACCAGTTGTCTCAGGAGGCCATTCTAGCTTCCTCCCTGTGCCTCTAGGTCCCAAACATCAGCAGCACCACACTAGGGCCTACAAAAGAATGGTCTCCCTTTGGAGGGCCGTGGAACAGAAAACAGGGAGAACAGCAGAGAATGAGGATTGAAGGGATAAAAGGGAAAAAATCCTTTCTATATTATCCTCCTCTGCTGTCTATATATCCTCTTCCTTAGCCCACCCCGGATTGGATCTCTCTAACCTCAGAGCAATAGCAAAAGCCTTCAATAATACTTGGCTCACTGCTGTTGAGTCGGATCCAACTCATAGCGACCCCTCCTTGGGTTTCCGAGGCTGTATCACTACAGAAGTAGATTGCCCAATCTTCCTTCCAAGGAGTGGCTGGTGGGTTTGAACTGCCAGCCTTCTGGTTAGCAGTCATATGCCTTAGCCACTATGCCACCAGAACTTCCAAATACTTGGAGGAATAGTAAAAAAAAAAAAAAAATGCCAACAGCAGCAACCATTGTGTTGACTATATGCCAGGCAGTTCAAGGGCTTTGTTGTTGTTGTTGTTTGCCGTCGAGTCGGCCCCGACTCATAGCGACCCCTCCTTGGGTTTCCGAGGCAGTATCACTACGGAAGTAGACTGCCCCATCTTCCTTCCGAGGAGTGGCTGGTGGATGTGAACCGCCAGCCTTCTGGTTAGCAGTCAAGTGCCGTAGCCACTATGCTACCAGAGCTCCCACAAGGGCTTTAGGTATATTGAATCATTTAATCCTCAAAACAACCCTGTGAGGGAAGCATTAATATTGCCCCCATTTTACCAATGAGGAAACTGAAGCACAGAGGAGTTAGGTAATCTACCCAAGGTTTCTCAGCTGGAAGTGGCAGAGCCAGGATCCCAAATCTACATCTGGCTCTCAAAGCAGTGCCCTCAACAATGACACTCTGATACCCCCAGGGGGAAAGGACGCAGGGCCAAGAGGGAGAACAGCTGGTTGGATTTGGAAGCTGAGCCCAGGCCCTATGTAAGTCACCTTCAGGATCTGCCCCTCCTGGAAGGGGAGCTCCTCTTCCCCGGCGTCAGGGTTGGGTGACATTGACACAGGATCGTAGTCAAACAGAGCCACAAAGACCCTGACAGGTAGGTCCTGGTAGGTCAGCACCTCTTCCGGGGGGCTCCTCAGAGGGGCTGGGGAGAAAGGGCAGCATCTCAATGGACTCTGGCCAAGGGGTCATGAAAGGCCCCTCACACCCAGCCCAGTGCCCATCAGGTGCTCACCCAGCTCACTGGAGCCTGGCTTGGGAGCCCGGGCCCCTTTCCGTGCGGGGCCCCTCCGCCCAGAGCAGTCCTGCCCTCTGGGCTCCCCCATCTCTGTTGTCTGCAAAGAAAGGGCAACAGACAGCAGAAGTGGCACACCACCCCTCCGGCAGGCACATCCGTAGAGGCAGGACCCACGCCCATCCCCAGCTCTGCCCCTCCAGCATAAGCAGCACAGCAGAGCAAGGGCACAACATTCCTCTGGGGAGCCTCTGCCCCCACCTCACTGGAGGCATCAGGTACCCCACTGGTGGGGAGCAGACAGGAGGGAGGCTCCAGCCCCCAAGGAGGTGAGTGCAGGAGAGGGAACTAAGCTTAGGTATCAGAGTTTGCCGAGGAGCATTTGGGAGGAGTGCCTCGTGTCAAAGTCAGGGTCAGTGACGATGGACATGGCATCAGTCGGTATCCTGAAGATGTAACTAGCTAAGCCAAGGACAGTGCCACCCTGCCTGAGGGCAAGGGGCTTGCTGGTAGCGATTGGCAACTAGTGGCAATAGAATATTGTGCATCCCAGTTCTGTTCCGCAGAAGCAGCAAAGCGGTGGAATGTGGGTGGGAAGAGGCAGGTGAGGGAGCCCAGAGGCCAGGCACCACCTCTGCTGATGGAGGCGGCAGCGTGGAATGGGAGTGGCTGGTGGGCAGCAAGCAGGGCCACCAGGCGGCAGCAGGCACGGGGCTGCCCAGGGCGGGAGTGGGCACGGACCCAGGAGGATAGCTCTTTGGCTCTGCCTGTTGCACTGCGGCCTCTCCACTCTGGCTCCCCTTTCTCCCAGGCTGGGGGGCGTGGGTAGGGGTTGGGGGATGAATTGGTCTTCAGAGCCCCCCTGGGCCGTCCTATGGGCACCATGCCCCAGGCCTCCCCCTCTCCAGGATAGCAGGAGCTGGTGATGCTGACGCCCCCACTGCCTGCCTCCTGCTCATCATCAGAATCATACTCAATGCTGATTTCTAAGCACTTCGGGGACAGGCAGCTGGCCAGACCAGACTCCAGGGCCTGGCCACGGGGACATCGGGAAGGGGCCAGCCGCCCTTTCCCACCAGCCTCTGGTCCAGCCCTGGTCCCCTCGCCCACAGGAGGGCCACCCCTCTCCCGTGTGGGGCCTGGTCGTCCAAGGGGCTGGGGCCCGCCATTGCCAATAAGTCGGCTACAGTGTTCACGGGAGTCTGGGGGCCGCCTGCGATTTGGGGGCTTCTCCAGGGTGCCACCTCCTCTCCTCCGGCTGCTTCCACCAACTAGTCCAGGTATGTCCTCCAGGCGGTCCCCAGCCCTGACAGGCTCAGGAGACAATGGGCATGGGCCAGGTCCTCGGGGTTGAGCACTGTCAAAGCCCAGCCCCAGCAAAGCCGCCTCGAGCAGGCTAGGGTCTCGGGGAGAGCAGCCTGCCCCCCGCTTCTCCTCCTCTCCGTCCTCGTCCTCGTCCTCCTCCTCCTCCGGGATGCTAAAGAGCTTCTTGCTGCAGAACTGCTGGAGGGGCAGCTCCAGGATCTGCTCCAAGATCTCCTCGTCGCTGTCCGTCTCACACAAGGAGTCGGGCTGGGGTTGGGGAGCGGCAGGAAGAGAGGTCCACAGGAAAGAGGAGAGAGGTGGGACCTTTGCCCTCAAATGAGGGCAGGGGGTGGAGACAACCCCACAGCCTGCCCTCCGTTTCCTCCAGGACCATCTCCCCCATTCCTCCACAGTCCTTCCCCACTGTGGGGAAGAACCCAGAGGGACGGGGGCTTGCCCAGAGTCACCAGGGCTGAGACAGAGGAAGAATTAGGGGGCAGACCCCAGGATCAGGCCCTGGGGAAAGACACATAGGGAGAAGGCCGTGTCTGTAAGAGCAGTGAGCCCCCACCTAGACTCAGAAGCTCCAAACACCGGGTCCCCTAGCCCATGCACTACATCTGGCAGGGTAGTGGAATGCGGACAACAGCTCCTCCTCTCCCCTTTCGTCCCAGGCAGCCAGAGGCTGATCCTGGGCCACTTCACACCTGCTGCTTAGGACAGGGCCCAGGCCACACACCTAGAATGTTGCTGACATTCAGTGGCACTGATACAGCTGGTCTCCACCCAAGGTGGAGGCTGAGATCTAGAGCCCACCAGTTCCTTCTCTTCTCACCCCGTTACCTTGGCCCCGTTCTCCCTGATGCTGTTGCCAGCAACCTGCTTCTGGAAAGAGCAAGGCCTGGAACCCAGCTCCTCCTCTTCCTCCTCCTCCTCCTCCTCCTCCTGGATGTCTGACAGGTCTGAGTTGCGGCTGTGGTCCACAAGGGAGTTCACCGGACGGATCCCGAGCTCTGCTGGGTCTTCTCTCTGTAAGAGGCAGACAATGGAAGGGCGATGGGAGGGGTAGTGAGGGGGTGTCAGGGGCTTTAGACAGGGTCAGCCCCAGCCAGGAGAAAAGAGGGAAAAAGGGCCAGCCAGATTGGGGGGCTGGTGTGCAGATGGCAGGGGAGCCTTAGACCAGGAGGACAGAAGCAAAATAGGAGTGAAACCTGGGAGGAAAAATGTGACAAAGAAATGGACACACAGCACAGACCAGAGGGGAGAACAAGGGACAAGGGCAACCATATTTTGTTGGCAGGAGGCAGGGGGTGGCCCCAATTCTTGGAGGTTGCACGGTGTCTCCCCAGTTGCGTACCTCAGCCCTGGGCCGCAGCCCGGACCCTGTGTCTCCTTGGCTGGCCTCAGTACATGGTGCCCGCTGGGCCAGGGCTCCCTGGGTGGAGCAGGGCACTGGGCAGACCTCTCCTGTGGTCCACTTAGCCTCTTCCTGGGCCAGTGCAGGAGCTGCAGGGCTAGGGCCTCCATCACCCACAGCTGGCTCACTGATCTTGCTCTCCTCCAAGACACCTAGCACGGCTGCCCCGGCCTCCTCCTGCAATGGCAGGCACTGAGGAGAGGTCTCAAGCCTAGGCCATTCTCCTAGCCCCCACTGGCTCTTCCTGCCCCCCAGCCCAGGATACCTGGGACCAAGATGCTGGAGGCTCTTCTTGGGATCCTCTTGATACCTCACTGGGAGGGCTTGCTAGGGGGGCTCCTGGGGGCTCTTGAGTTCCATGGGGAACAGGGTGCCGGAGAGGAGAGCTGGGGTCTCCGGGCCCTGGGGAGGCTGGAACAAAGGGTGGTCTGGCCTCTGAGCCTGGCTGGGGTGAGGGGCAGGAGACCCTGGCTGGCAGGCAGGCCAGAGCCAGGGCTGGGGCTACGGGGGCTGGGATGGAGTCAGCTGACTCGCCATGGGGTGACATGGTGCGCACGGCCACCTCTCGGCACGCCCGCAACAGCTGCAGCTGGGACAGCTCCACCAGCACGCTGCCTGCTGTGGGTGAGGCCACCTCCATGATCTGCAGTGGGAAGGAAGAAGCTGGTAAAGGACAGCTGAGATAGCCCAATGTGCAGACACAAGGATAACACAGGCAGCTACCATTATGGCAGTATACCATTTAACTAAGCCCACGCTTCTAGTTGTTGAATCCCAGTCATCTGATGCCATGCTCTTAGCTAGTCTTCTACATGGTTCCCAAATGCCGGGGGCTGAGCACCTCTGTGCCAGTATGTAGAGACTAGGCCAGGAGACAGCTGCATCCTGCTCCCAGAATAGAGGTGGGATACAGTAATCAGGCCATACCTTCTGCCCATCTGCATAGATGGCATAGCCTGTGACCCGGACACCATTGGAGGAGCCTGCAGCATCAATGGTGACTGGGAGCCAGCTGATGATCAAGATTCCGGGGGAGGGCCCCGGCTCAATCTGCACATCCAGGGGGGCATCAGGTGGGCCTGGAAGGGAGGGGTACAAGGCCTAGTAATGCCCACCAGTGATACCAGCCCCACTGCCATTTCCCTGAGAATGGGAAGAGCCAGTCTCTCCTTCCAGCCTCTCCATGACCCAGCCTCCTTGTGGTACAGTGTACCATCTGGCCTGTCCCTCGGTGCTCTGGCTACACACCTGCTGGGAGAGTTGTGAACTGCAGGGTGGCAGTCTTCTGCTCCGGCCTCTCCCAGCCTGGCTCCCAGGACCCTAGGGGTGGGAGTTGAGCCTCTACTCGGGCCTGGTAGGGTGTGCCCGGCCGCAGGTTGCAGAAGGTGGCCCAGTAAGTACTAGGGCGGGCAGGTGGGCACTCTTCCCCATTGAGGTAGATGGCATGGGCCAAGTTGCTATTGCTGGGCACCCAGGTGATCTCAGCAGATGTGGCTGTCAGCCGATGGACTCGTAGCTGGCTAGGCCCCACTCCAACCCGGGCACCCACAGCCAAGCAGCAACGCAGGGGATCTGAGCTGCCTCGGCTAGTGAGGGCCTGGACAGAAACATGGAGAAGCCCGGCACACAGGTCCAAGTTTTCAAGCACGGCCTTGGGAGGTGCCCCAGACCCCAGGGCCTGACGCAGTTCTCCATTCACACAAATATGGTAGCCATGCAGCTCCAGTGGTTCAGGGGGCGGCTCCCAGGCCACCACGAGACTGTGGGCCAGCTGTTTGAGGACTGTCAGGCGGCGCGGGTAAGGCACAGCAGGGTGCTCACCCAGGCCGTCAGGCGGGGGACTCAGGCTGAGCTCATCACCTGCATCTTCCTCCTCCATTCGGGGCTGGCTACGACCCCCGCTGCTCTGGCCCCCACTGCTGCTGCCACCCCCTGCCCCACTCAGGAAGCTGAGTTCAGGGCCAGAGCTGTGTGACAAATCTGCTAGCTCCAGAGGGAGGGAGGACAGGAGGTCATCATCAGACACACGCTCTACAAAATTGGAGGGTACCAGACCCCTTCGGCCATCCATGAGCTCCCCTAGCAGAGGGAGAGGAGAGACAGAGAGGAGGTAGAGAAAAATCCATTCATTAAATTCATTTCAGCAACTGATCAGTGGATGATCATAATCATTTCATTCAAATCAACATGGACCTGTCAGTGCTTTTAAAAGATAAGAGCAACCAAGATCTGGATGAGGGAGTTCTTACTTTTTATGGGTGTGATAACAAGGTGTGATCATGGTACTGTGGTTACGTAAGATCAAAAAAAAAAAAAAAAAAACCCGTTGCCATCGAGTTAATTCCAGCTGATGGTGCTCCACGTGTTAGAGCAGAACTGTCCCACAGGGTTTCTCTGGGTTTGTTCAAACTGTCAACCTGTGGGTTAGTCAAGTGCTTAACTGTTTGGGCCACCCAAGGACTGTCCAACAGTGCCTTTAAGTTCTAATGTGCACATGAATCAGCTGGAGATGTGTTAAAATGCAGATTCTAATTCTGTAAGTCTGGTGGGGTAAGAGTCTGTGTTCATAACAAGCTTCCAGGTGACAATGACGCTGCAAGAATATGGGAAATGCAAGGATGTAGCATGTCCATGTCCTAAGCAGATGCAAATCGAAGTTTCTAGGTAACATGTCAAGATGTCTGCAACTGGCTTTCAAATCCTTTTTTTGTTTTAACCTTCATAAAGATAAAGCAACTATGGCAAAACGGTAACAGTTTTTGAGTCTAGGTTATGGGTACACAGGTGTTCATTGGACTATTTAACTTTTCTGTACATTTCAAAACATCCATATTAAAAATCTGAAAAAAAGTCAACAGGACCAAGATGAGAAACCAGATTCTACTGATTGAGAAGCTCCCATGTGGAGTTTTACAGACCTGAGGGAAGGAGTGGGTTACTCTTCAACTCCCATGGTGGAAAACAGACCCCGACAAGAGAAAAGGGAGCAACTACCTTGACAGGGTGAGGGAAGGAATCTTTAGAGATGGAAGATGTCAGTGCCCGAGAACAGTCACTTGTGGGTTCCAGAAGGAATTAGGACCCACAGCAGGCCTCTGGGTTAGCAGTGTGACCTGGCAGCCAACCCAGGCTGCAAGTAATGGTAAGGGTTGTTAGCTGGTGTCAGTTCCCCTGAACAGTAGACAAAGTATTTCAAGACATTTGTTGTAGTTGTTTGTTTGAGGGATATTGATGAAGAAGGAAGCTGGCACAGAGGATGGCATGTCGTAGACAGTACTGGGGAGAAGAAAACAATTTCCTGGACATAGCCAAGCTGGTGGCAGCTATGCCTTATTGGAAGAAAGATAGGAAGCAAAGCAGGACTTAGGACTGATACGTGAGTCAAGGCAGGTCTGAGCTTCAGGAGTGCCTGGGAGTTTCCCCAATAGTGATTGATACCCCCACCACACACACACACACACACACACACTGCTAGGAGGAGAAAGAAGTAAGGAATCTTGAAAAACAAAAATAAGCACTTTCAATAAATTAGGTCATATAAACACTGAAGGGGGTTGAATGGTGGCCCCCAAAAGATAGATCCATATCCCAATCCCTGGAACCCATGAATGGGGCCTTATTTGGTAAAAGGGTCTTTGCAGATGTAACATTTACATCAGGTAGATACACTCCTTGGAGCAATCAATCATGAGAGAGCTGAAAGGTTGTGTATGCACAGGGAGACAGCTTGGGGGGCAGGAGTGCATGGGAAGGAAGGACACAGGGAAGAGGTAACTATGGGGCGGAAGAGGGAAGAGAGCTGCTATATTGTGGGGAATTGTAGTCAATGTCATGAGACAAAATGTATATGAAATGCTGTATGGAAAATGAATTTGCTGTGTAAACTTTCACCCAAATCACAATAAAAATTTACCAAATAAATAAAGAAAATTTAACTCTTGAAAAAAAGAGACAGACAGACAGAGGAGAGACACTGAGAGAAGAAGGGCAATGCAACCACAGAGGCAGGGACTGAAGTGATGTGGCCACAAGCCACAGTACCCCTGGACCCCCTCGAAGCTAGAAGAGACAAGGAATGGAATCTTCCCTAGAGCCTTTGGAGGGAGTACAGCCCTGCTGACACATCGCTTTTGGACTTCAGACCTCCAAGACTGTGAGAGAATACATTTCCCTTGTTTGAAACCACTAGGTTTGTGGTGCTTTGTTACGGCAACTCTGAACTGTGTGATAAAGGTGCACACCTTGACAGGAAGCTGATCGACAGCCCTGTGTGACTGAGGTGCCGGCCTGGGCCGGAGTCAGGCACACTCTCGGGAAGCTCTGCCACTAAGGACAGTCCAGATGGGATGAGACGTAGATGAAGCAGTCACTTAGCTAAATGTTGATGAGGAATGTGGCAACTACACCCAGTTGTCTACATTCTGAGATTGTATAATTCAAATTCTAGTAAATTGTGGTTGGTTAACATTATGCTTTTGTGGATTCTCTCCCCCAAAAAACTGGTTTTCTTGTTTTGTTTTTCATAAAACATACTTTACCTGGAAGCTATATCATCTGGCTCTCTGTATTCCAATGTCATGGAAGTTTAGCTATTTCAGCCACACAGCCAGAGTGGGTACCATCATTCCAGGCAGCCACTCAGGCATAGGCCCAAGGGAGAGGCTCTGAACAGTTTTGAAGGCCTGGCCTTACAAACCCAAAGTTGTGGGTGTTCCAGGCTCAGATCTGAATATGCCCTGTGCTGCCCTGCTTGGGGCCAGACCCACAGACAGCCTAGTTGTCTCTTTCCCCAGACCCCTTTCTTTTCCTTTCCCCACTGGCTGCAGAGGTCTCTGGAAGCCTTTAAGCTGAATCTAAAAAGTTATGGTGGGCTGAGCATGCTGGGGAGAGGGTGTGGATGGAGGGGGCCCTTTGGGAACACAGGCTTAAAGTCAGGGGAATGGATAGAACGACCCACTACCTTCCTACCTTCATAAAAGCCATCCTCGTCCATGTTGCCATAGATGTAGATATACTCGCCTGCGGTCAGCGGAAGCTCTGCCTCTGGGTTCTCATTGGGGCCCTCAAAGGGGTTGTAGCTATTGAAAGAGGCAGGAGGAGGAGGAAGACAGTGACTACATCCCACCTCCGTGTCCCGTCTTCTCTCGCCCACTGCCTCAGGCCTTCATGGAAATGTGTTCATCCATCTTTAGCAAAGCAGAGTGTTTACTCAGCCACCTTGGCCCAACTAGGTGAAGAGTACACGTCCAGCTGAGATCCCTATAGCCACCCTGCCATCTCTATCACATGGTCCCTGTCCCCATACACCCTAAATGCTGGGAGGCAGGGGGTTCAAGGGTGGGAGGCCTACCTGTAACGTGCTAGGAAGACTTGGATCCTGGATCCTCTCCGGGTGCCCTCTGATGCTGCTGGGAGCAGGGAGACACTGTCTGCCTCTAGCTCTTCCACCTCACTGGCTGTGTCCGCCTAGGGGCAAGCAGAAAGAGCTGGGCCTCTTCAGGGCCTAGGGCCAAAGGCAAAGTAGGCAGGAAGCCAGACCGAGCCAGAGGAAGACCCACTGCCTGGGAGACAGTCGAGTGAGCACATGCTGTTTAAGGTCAGTGGCAAGGAGCACGAGATGTTTTCTAAATCACTGCCTAAGCCAGCAGGGCCTGACAGAGCCCAGCTTCGTGCCCCAGGAAGGGAGCCCTGGCCCCTACTGCCCCAAACCAGCTGAGAGAGGGCCAGGTCACGGCTGGTATGGGGAGTGGGTGTCAAATGGCAGTTTGGTTCCTCAAAGTGACATGCAGTAAAGCAGCCTGAAGGTAAAGAACTGGAAGAGAAGGGGCAGAGGGGATTGGAGAAGTCCCTGCCTCTCACTCTGTGACAGTGCTTCTGTGGTTCAGCTCTGAACTCCCTGTCCACCTGTCTGGTCCATGACTGGGGGAACCCCTACTTCTCTGACCCTGGTTGATATTTTTGAGGCCAGTCTGAAAGACGACTTTTCTTCTCTGTCAAAGCCGGGGCCAAAGGGATTGAAGGGTAGACAGGGGCCGCACCACCACTCTAAAACACAAGGGGGCAGTAGAGGCCCAGCACAGTGTTCTACCATCTTTGGCAATGTAGGTTCCAGAGCCACTCCACACCTGCCTCCCTCCGCACTGGGAGGTAGAGAAAGGGACAAGATGACCAAACAAGTTGTGAGTGATGCTATAGAACTTATAATAGCTGTCATGTGGTAAATAGGAGCTCTGGTGGCGTAGTGTCTAAGGCATTTGACTGCTAACCAGAAAGCTGGAGGTTCAAACCCACCAGCCACTCCTCAGAAGGAAGACTGGGCAATCTACTTCCGTAGCAATACCGCCTCGGAAAACCAAGGAGGGGTTGCTATGAGTCAGATCCGACTTGATAGCAATGAGTTTTTGTGGTAAATATCTACTGTGTGTGCCATATTAAATGAGGTGCTTCCTTATATTTTTTCATGTCATCCTCACAACTTTACAAGGCAGGTTTTAGTAGTTCCAATATTCAGGTAAGGAAACTGAAGCCCAGAAAGGGTCAGGGACTTGAGTAGCCAAAGCTGGGATTTCAGTACTCAAACCTGTGCTCTTTTTCACAGCCACCTGCTTCTGCTATAGGTGTCCTTATGAACAATCTCATTATGTGGTTCCTGGCATCAAAATGTCTCCCTCCCCTCAGCCCAGGACTCTAGGGCCTCCTTGGGCCCCAGAGGGGTGGTGCCAGGAGGCCCCAAAGTGGAATTTGCAGGCAGGCCTTGGAGAGCAAAGATGGGAAACACAAGGAGGAATTCATGGTCCTTCTCTCCCCAAGTCAGCCTCACTTTCCAAGTTGGAACCTAACTCCTGGAGATCCCAGAAGAAGTCATGGCAGACCTCCCTTTCCCTTTCCCAAAGCAGGACCAGAAACCCTCCTCAGCACTGACCTCGGGCGTAGGGCAGGACTTGGGGCTGTTGTGGACGGACTCGGAGCGAGAGGAGTTGGAGAGAGACTCAGTCTTCTTAGAGGGGCCCCTTCGAGGGGCCCCAGCAAGGGTGCCAGAGGCAGGTTCAGAAGACTTTGGGGTACAACGCCCTGGAGAGCCCGGCGGGAGGTCAAGGTCTAAAGAGAAGATGGCACGTGGGCTGGGGGTCTGTGGCCTGAAGAGGGACCAGGGAGATAGGGTGGAGCTTCTTGGATATGGGGGTCAAGCCCTCCATAGCCAGATTTCCTTTAAGAAGGGAATTACCCAGGGGAGGGAGATTGCTAAGTCCCAAGCATACATGATTTGCATGCATGATTTCACAGGATCCTCACAGCAGCTTGATGAGGTGCATTTAATTATTCCTGTTTTAGAGCTTAGGCCTATTGACTGTAAAGTCAGTGGAGCTGTGACCACCAGATTCAACTGACTCCTAAGCCCATCCTGCCTGCTACTGTCTCCTACTGCCCAACTCCTAGCTATGACCATAAAGGTCTTATTGGGAGGAGAGGAGCAGTGGCCTGAGACATCTGGGCCCAAACTTGGGAACGGTCACCCTATTGGGCTCTATTTTTCCCCATCAGAACCTGGTTTTCATCAGGCATGGCTCTAACTTGCTGTGTAACTTTGGGTGAGTCACTTGCCTTCTCTGACCCTGAACTCCCTGCTCTATGCAACAGGTGCCTCCTTTCCAAAAGCCCCAGGGCTAGGAATTCCAGGCCAATGTCACTGGGATCCACCTTACCTTTGGAGCCGGACCCCTGGCAGGGCTGGGGCATAGAGCAGCAACAACGGGGTTGTAGGCGGTCCCCAAGGGCAGTGCAGCCCAGGGCAGAGGTGAGCAGATCCAAGGGGCCAGGGTGCAGGCGGAAGGCCTGGAGCTCCTGCGCCAAGAGGCTGAAGCGCTCAGTTTGGCTGCGGCACTGCTCCTCAAGCTCTCGGACCCGGGCCTGGATCAAGACCTACCATCAACCCAAAGCCCGGCAAAGCTGCCCAGTCCCAGCCTGTGCCACACAGGGCACCGAACACCCAGACCCTTGGCCTGGCTGCCCCTCAGCCCTTCATATTGGCTGAGTGGAGTGTGAAGCCCTGGGACTATGGGCCACCTTCATTCCAGCCCTCCTCCAGAGCCAAGGTCTGCCTCATACTCTTCACACCCTTAGCCCCAGGCAGGCCACACTTCCTGCTTCTGGCTGCTTTCCAGGCCAATAGGGATGGATCCCACCCCCCACCACTATCACCAGTATCACATCCAGAGTTTCTCAGCCTCAGACCCACTTACCTGCCACCACCACCCACAGTCAGTGACCAAACAGTGACCAAAACCCCTGCCCTCAGGGAGGTGGGGCAAGAGACTCCACAAGGGATCTAGGGACATCTTTGTGACAGGAACAGGCCAATTCCCAAGAATTTTTCTCAGATATTAGGACAGCCCCAACCCTAGCCATTATCAGGAGAATCATGAGTTAAGACTGGTGATGAACGTCCTCATGGTCTCAATGGCTTTGTTTTGGAGAAGGGAAAATCCCATGACTGCCAGGCACAGGAGTAAGTCTGGGACAAGGGAATGGGCTATGTATCCTGCAGGGACCCAGGCCATCTAAGGATTTGCAGGTCTGCCACCTTCCTCTGACGGACATGACAGTTGGGACTGCTTGGGCCCTAAGACAGGAGATGAAGATGAAAACTCAGTCATCCTGGAGAGGTATGGAGGAGGGGATACCCAGGGAGGTTGAGGGGACAGAGAATAAGGAAGTTATACCTGCATGGAATCCAAGGTAGACTGTGGCAGAAAAGGAAAACATAGAAAAGAGGTGAGAGCCCTTAGTCCACTGGTCATTAACCCAGAAAGAGATAAACGAGAATGGGGCCTAAGTGGACCACATCCCATCCAGTAGGCCTCCCTGGACTGCAAAGTTCCTAAATGGAAGGGTATTTTAGGGTAAAGGCAGCCTCTTGGGAGTGAGTTGCAATGGGAGACTGCGGCCACCAGGCTCAGGAGCCCTTGCCCCAGCCATGCCTCAGCCTGAGATACAGGCTGATGGTGAAGAGGATTCCCCAGGTCCTGGAGAGTTTAAGGGCCTCTCCTGAAGCCTCATACTCTCCCCCCAACACACACATACACACACACAGTCCATTCCAGCTTTATCTGAAGTTCCCTGCCTTTCCCGCAAGCAATGGAGCCGGTGGCCATCTCTGGGGACCCTACCTCCAGCAGCTGCACAGCCCCTTCATGTTCTCTCTTGGCTTCTGCCTGGGCCTATAGGTAGGAGGAAGCAAGATGATGGTGGGCAAAGAGAGATCTGGGGCGGGGTAGAGGAAAGTATGAGGGAGGATGGGTAGAAGGAACAAGGGAGTGAAGGGAAAAGGAGAGAAGGGTAGAGGGGAAAGGGAGAAGGGAAGGGGACTGGGAACAGGAGAGGCTGTGGGGCTCTCCTTCGCTGAACACTCACCCTCCCCTACACCTTAGGCCAGAAGGCAATGGGGTCAAAGAGAGGTGGGGCCTCGTACTGTTTCTCCCTTTGGGACAGCTGCGTTCCTGACTTCCCTTCTACCTCTCTGCATGTTCCTTCTCGGCTTCTTGGCTCTGCTTCACTTCTTCTGTTCCTTGTGGAGTGTTAGGGGTCCCAGGGCATGGTGTTGGTCCCACTTTCTACTCTACACCCCACCCTCCATCAGGGTGCTTAAGCCCAAAGCCTCAGTGTCATCCTTGAGTCTTCCTTTCCTCTCAGAGAGGAAAGGGATGACAGAGTAGGGACTCAACCCTAATCCCACGATAAATCTTGCCAATTCCATTTCCAAAATATATTTCAACTCTGTTTCCACCTCCAGAGGCTGCACCCTGGTCCAGAATACCTAGTCTCCCACCTGCACCAGTGCAGCAACCACCTCCTAACACTTGTTCACCTGCCTTCATGCCAGCTCCCACAATCTACCCGCCACACTGCCCCCAAAGGGATCTTCTAAAATTATGAATAGGATCATGCCACGCCCCTTCTAACTGCTCACAAAACAAAGTATCCAAACTATTCCCATGGCTTTTAAGTCCAGCCTGATCCAGCCAATTCCTGCTATTCCGTCTGTCTCTTAGTATATTCTAACCATACTGTTCTCAGACACTCCAAGCGCTTTCCTACCACAGGGCATTTGCACTTCTACTCACTATTCCTGGAGTGCTTTTTCCCTAGCTCTCATGGCTGGTTCCTTCTTGCCATGCAGGGATTAGCTCAACTGTCACCTCCTCAGAGAGGCTTTCCCTGACCACTTCTCTAAACTGCCCCCCACCCCATCTCAGTCACTCTCTGTCACATCACTCTGTTCATTTCCTCCACTGCACCTGTCAGTGTCCAAAATGACCTCATTCCTGAATCTGATTATTTCCAGGTTGGTTAGGAACCTCGTCTTTGTTCACCACTGTCTCCCCAGTGCCTAACACAGTGCCTGGCACACAGCAGGTACTCAGAAAATGCTTTCTGGGTGAGTGGATGTCTAAGCTGGGGTCCAGCAGGCTACCACCCTTCCCTCACTCCTGTCCCCATCCTGGGAGGCCTTGTCCCCACCTGCTGCAACCTCCGGACCTCCTCCTGCTTCTCCTGCAGGCCGAGCCGAGCCCGCTCGTGCTCCACCTCCAGCTGCTGCCGCCGCTGGGCCACCTCCCGCATGCGCTGAAACACAAGCCCCTGGGTCAAGACCAGCGCCTCCACTCCACCATTTCTACAGAAGATCTAAGAAGAGGGCGCCTCAGACATTGCTGCAGATCCCTTCTATGGAAAACAAAACTGAGGCTAGAGAAGGAAAGAGGCTGAAGTCCCACAGCCAGTGGATGGTGGCTGAGGCCTCGTGGGCATGTTCCACTGTCCCATTTTCTCCCTGTGCCAGGGATCAATATCCTTTCCCCACCTACACAGTCCCCTTACCTTCAGCACCTGCTCCAGGCTCTCCAGCTTGCTCTGCAGGTCCTGGCTCTTGTGAAGGGCTGAGTCCCTCTCCTCTGTCACCCCTAGGAGCCGGCCCCTCAGCTCTGCATTCTCCCACTCCACCTGGAGAGGGGTGTGGCAGGGAGCTGGGTGTGTGAGCTTTGTCGCATGGGCTCCCTCATTAGAGGGGATAGTGTCCTGCATACCCCAGCCCAGTTCAAGGTGGAGAAGGAAGTCTCTCACCAGAGGCTGGGGCCCTGGCAGAAGTTCGGGCCCCCACAGCACCTGGGGCAGAGCTGGTACCTGCTCCTTCTCCGTGGCTCTCCCACTGAGCCGAGAGTTCTCCTCCACGAGGCGGGCATTCTCATTCTGGGCTTCTCTTAGCTGCAGTTCCTGAGGGAGCAGAGGTGTTGCGGGGGCAGCACCCACAGTCCCTCTCTCCCCATACAGAGGACCCTGTCCACCAAGTCAAGACCCTTTTGTCCCCTGCCTTGGACCTGCATCAGACAGGAGAGCCCAGAGAGCAAAAAAGAATGTACTTTCTTGTGGGCAGGGGGAGGAAAGCAGAGCTGAGTGGAAGCCCACCACCTGGCTGCCCTAGGGGAAGGAGGAGCTGACCACTGGACCCCCAGGCGCTCACCAGCTCCTCACATCGCCTCTGCTTCTTCCGGGCTTCCTGTTCCAGGCTCTCACATTTCTTCCGCTTCTTGCTGAGCTCTGACTCCTGTGAAGGTCAGAACCCAGTGGGTCAGCCCAGAGGGTTCCTCAGGTGGGAGGGCCCATCTGCCCATTACAGGTCCTCTCCAATCCTTGGCCTGAGCACTTACCAGTTGCTGTACCCTCTGTGGTTTCTCAGGCTCCCCTATGACCACCTGTGGGTTGTCCACATCCTCCTGGGGCGTGGCCTGCAAATGCCCAGGGGTAGGGGCTGGCAGTGAGGACAGGGTCCCAGGACAGCCTGCCCCAGCCCAGCCTGGGAGGGTCCTACCCCATCTCACAGTCAGCAATGAGATCCCTGCTCAGGAGGGGGCTGTCTGCTCACCCACCCCCATCAACTCCAGTTGATATAAATGTGCAGAGGCTGGACTCCTGGGTCCGGAGCCATAAGTGCTTTGAGATCCTGGGGCCCATGTGGGTCCTGGGAACCAGGTCCCTTATCCAGGCCAAAGCTTTCCCTTTTTAGCTTGCAGCAGCCAACCCCATTCTGCACTCAATAACTGTCCTAGGTGTCCTTCAGTGACTGGCAGAGAATTAGGAGGCTGCCTGGGCCCAGGGGACATGGAGGCATTCCCAGAGCTGAGGTTCTGGAGCATCCATATCTGGGCCTGGCCTAGAACAGTGCTTATCTGACCAGACCCTCCTCCAGGCTTCCCCCAAGCCCACCCCGTCCCACCTCCCATTTATCGGTGCAAACTTTGAGGGGAGGGCAGGTCTTGATGTGAGGTGCATCATCTCCCCTTCCTGGGCCAGGCAGAGGGGCAAAATCGGAGCAAGAAGCAACTCACACCCTGTGGCCTTGGTCGCTATCGGTTCGCGTCTCCGTCCCTCTTCCTAGAAGGGACGGACCTAGATACTGCCCAGCAGAGAGCACAGACAAGGGCCAGACCCATAAGTTCTGGGGGTCCGCGGGGAGGTGTCCTAGGCCCTTGGGACATTAGCTGCCTAAGCCCCATGCCCAGTGAGGGTCGCCCGTACCTGGAGCGAGAGCGGACGCACCGCCGCCCCCGAGGAGCCGGGGCGGGCCTGGCAGGCGGGGCTGGCGCAGAAGGGAGCGTCCCCGCGCTACGGCGGCGGCGGGAGGTGGCAGCGCGGGCCGGGCCCCGGGCGGCTGCTAGGGCAACCGAGGATTTGCAGCCGGGCCATACCACTGGCAGCTCGGCAGGGGCGACGGGGCGGGCCAGGCGGGAAGCAGACCCGCGGGGGGCGGAACTTGGGATGCCCGGGGCGGGCGCGGCGCAGGTAGGGGCGCGGGGAGGGGTGCAGGGAATCTTGCCCTCGGGGTCGGACTAGCTCCGCAGCCCCTCGGAGTGCGCATCCGTCACCAGGTACTCGGGGCTAATGAGCACCGTGCAGGGGGGATTCCAGAGCCACCACTACCACCCCGGCCTACACACAGCCACACACCTGCCCAGGAGTCTGCGCTCACCTCTCCCGGGGCGCCGGGGGCTGGTCCCCCTGCTCGGGCCAGGACAGCTGGGCCCGAGGGTCGGGGCGGCGGGGGCGGCCCCTGCTGGTTACGCAGGGCGATCTGCCTCTGCAGCCGCAGCACCTCCCGCTGGGACTCGCGCAGGAGCCGGTCGAAGTCCCGCACGTGGAGCCACTGGGGACCCTCCTGAGTGAGGGGACGCTGAATGGAGTCAGGCCGAGCCGCCCTCTACCTCACGCCATCCCCCAGGAGAGCGCGCCCTCCGCCTAGCTAGAGGGCCTCGGATGCGCGGGATCATGCATATTGTCGTATGCATACATGCCTGGGCATATGTGCATGCATATACAGCCACATGCTTCCGCTAGCCTATGTGCAGACACCCACAGGAATAGTAACTCATTTGCTGGGCACGCAACATGCGCCCGGCCCTGTGCAAAATGCCTGTAAACACCCTTTCACACAAGTGTGAGGTAAGTGTGGATGCAAACAGCCAGGCCCCACTAGCTCACTGCCTCGAGCCTGGGGCACAGAAATTCCCAGGTCTGAGACTTCTGGATGGCTCCACCTCCTTCAGTTCAAGCTACTTCGGCCGGCTCCCACCTGGGCCGTTGCCAGGGGAACGTACTCCCCAGAAGCCTCTACCTTCCTGCCTCATTTGCATTTCATTAACATCTCGTCCACACCCCACACGTTGTGGAAGTAGGCCGGCCAGCAGGCGGCCCTGTGAAGGGCTGAGCTGGAAGGGGTGACCAGGGCCCGTTCACACGCACCTTGCCTGCCAGGGTGAGCCTGGCCTGCAGCTCCCTGCACTCTCGCTGCAAGGCGGCAATCTGCTTGTCCTTGGCCAGCAGGGCGCTGGCTGTTTCACTGAGGTCCCGGGCTCGCTGGCGCGCCAGGGCCTTCCGGCACAACTCCAAACTGGCCCCTGGCCGAGGCACCGGGGCACTCACCTGGCCAGAGGAGGGGTAAGGCCAATGGTCATCACTGAAGGGCTAGGGTCCATCCTCCAATCCTCAGCACCTCCGCGAAAGGAGGGCTTGGGATGAAAACCTAGAAGTGCAGCCTCCTGCTTCCACCCTGTGCCTGGGGCCTTAGGGGACCTAGAGGCCTCATTAGATCCCAACCTGGCAGTCCCCAGGAATTAAAGGGTTAACTCCACATCCCAGTTTAGGCCCAAAGCATGCTGCTAATTCCAGACTGTCACCACCATTGGTCTTCATCCCTGCCCCCACCAGCTCTGCACCCTGAGATGAGCTCAGCATAGGCTGCAGCCAGCACCAGCTCGTGGTAGTCCAGAATTCTGCTCCCCGCCTGTTCGGGAGCCTCCTCCCTCAGCCCTTTCCTCCCTCCTCTCGCTCCAGAAATCCTCAGCTCTCAAAACTGGCCAGCATTTGCCCTTTTCACATGGCCCCCGCTGGGTTTCTGCTTTCCTGAGTGCTAAGGGTCTATGACCCCAGAGCCACAGCCTCTCAGAGTCACACCTGGCTCCCCTCCTCCCTGGTCACCCAGGCCCTGTCCAGTGGCCTGCGTCCTCACCACCCTCAGGTTAGTCTCCTGCAGCTTCCGGGCCCTCTCCTCCAGCCGCTTGGCAATGACCGCCAGCTCCGCGTTCTTCCTCTTCAGCCTCCGCACCTTCTCCTCTGTCTCTGGGAAGCTGCTCTTTCTCTGACAAAGGGTCAGGCAAGATTGGGGTACATGTAGAGCGTACCCCGCCAAGACCGCATCCTAGCTGCCCAGCCCCTAGACTAGTGCCCTAGGCTCATGGCAAGTCCTCTGCAGCTCTAGGCAGGAGTTCACCCTCTTGGGTCTTATTTTGACATCTCTTATTATGTGGCCCCCTGTCGGAGAGATGTTCATGGGGGAGGGAGGGCACTGAGGCAGAGGGCCAGAGTGTCTGAGCCTGCCTCCCCCAGGTCCCACTCTCCAAGCCTCACCAGCATCTGGTTTTCTTCCTTCAGGATGGCACAGCGCTGTTGCAGCTCCCCCAGAGCCCTCAGCAGCTCTAGATTGGGCCTGTCCCCAAAGCCCATGTTCAGCTTGGCCTGGCGTGGAAAGGAAGGGACACTCAGCTTCAGGAGACCAGCCTCTCAGTCAGAGACCTCCCTGTGGCAGCACTACCCGTCCACAGTCAGGGGGGACACAGAGGCAGCAAGGTTCTCTCCCCTAAATCTCAGGCCTTCAGAGAGGTGCACAAGGAGGCCTAGAAGGGGGTGCTTAGTCCTGGGGTCCTCCCTGCTATTCCTGGAGTCTTCCACCCACTGCGCGTCTTTTTCTTCTCCTGGAAATGCCAGTCCGAGCTCCCGCTCCCACTCCTCCAGGCTCTTCATGGCCCCTGAGTCCCTTTCCCTCCCCCAAAATCCTGGTCTCTCCATCTCTATGGGAAACTGCTTGCAGCATCCCAAATCTGGCCCTCCCTTGCTCAAACCTTGCTCAGCCCAGCCCTTAGCCCCCTTCCCTAAATCTGTTTCCTCTGGACTTTGATTCCACTGTATATCTCTACACGCCCCCAGTATCCTCAGCCCCCAAGGACAGACAGACAGACACTCATGGAGGAGACACAGAAAGACAGACTGTCAGAGAGACCCTGGGGGAGGAGGAAGGGGCAGGGCCAAATGTAGATAGACAGGCAAGAGAATGACAGACAGATGGGGAATAAATGGAACCACTGAGCCTAGTGTCCAAAGAAGGGAGGACTGATAGTCACAGAGACAGACCCACAGACAGAGACAGGCCAAGAGGAAAGGAGAGGTGGACAGAGGGGTTGTCTATCCTGCGCTGCTGTGTGCCCAGGCTAGAGAGGCCCCCACCTCACAGACCCTGACCTCCACAGCCCTTACCTTAGGGAAAGCCTCTACCTTGTCCTCCAGCGTCAGGCCGCCAGGTCCAGGGCTCTCTGCTTGCTGCCTTCGGAGAGGCAGCCCCGTCAGTGGCCCTTCGGAGTCAATGCTCTCTACAGGCCCAGGGCGCCGGGCCCCCTCGGGCTCTGAACTCTCCCCAGGCCTCAATTCTCCAACTTGCAGAGCAGCCGGAGTATCAGCAATGCTTGGGGCTGTGCCTCCAGGCTCACCCCCCTGGCCTGGAGTCCGGCTGTGCCAGGCGGCCAGTGCCCATGGCTCCATGGCTCCGGGGTCCCCAGGCCGTGGGAGGGATGTCAGTTGCTCCATGGTACTGCCAAGGGACCCCAGAATCTGAGCCGGGGAACATCACCCAGCCAACTGGGGGGGCTGGCGAGGGTCATGCCAGGCCAGACCCTGTCCCCTCTGAGCTCTTGGCTTCACCGAGGCTCCATCTGAGGTTGGCTGAGCTCTTCCCCACCCACGATGCAAGGCTGCAGAAGGAGTCAAGACTGCAGGAGCTGGAGCCAGGGGTACGCAATCTATGTTTGCTTGTGGCTGTGTGTGTATGAGTGTGTGAAGAAGGGAGGGTGTCCCTGTGGGGGTGGGGAGGATGTGCAGAGGCCACTGATAACAGTGCCTGGGTGAGGGTGTATGTGTGTGTGTCTCCAGGTCTGTCTGTTCGTGTCAGCGCTATGTATGTTTGGAGGATGGGTGTCCCCTCCCTTGTGTGTGTGTGTGGGGGGGATGTGCCGTGTGTCACTGACTGTGCCTGTGTCAGAGTTACCAGTTGTTTCTGTGTGTGTGTGTGTATGGGGGTGTCTGTATTGCAGGGCTGTGGCAGAGTGTGATACTGTCACTGGTTGTATCTGAGTGTGTCAGTGTTGTGCAGCTGTATGCATCGGTGTTATCGTGTGTCCATCAGCTTCTGTGAGTCTGGCCATCCATCACAGCCCCTTAGCCTAGCGAGGGTCCACAGGAGCTGCTGAGGGTGGTCCCCAGTGGTCCGCCGTGGTCCTTTATCTCCGTTCCTCTCTCCGCTGCTGCTCGCTGGCTAGGCAGCCAGGCTGTCCTAAGGAGGCCTGGGTCGATGGGCCGCTTGCCTCATAGTCTCTGCCCCACTGGACTCAGCTCTGGGGACTGCAGGGTCCCCTACAGCCCCGGAGCCCTGAGATGGTGGGCGCGGAGGAGGGCTGAGCCTCAGAATGGGGGGCAAGCAGGAGAAAGCCAGCCCTCCCTCCCCCTCCTCCTCCCCTCTCACCCACCAATAGGAAGTCGGCTGCTGGTTTCCATGGTGATGGCGATGGACTGGTGGGCTGGACCGGCTGGTAGGGTCAGGACGGAGGAAAGAGCAGGTTCCTCCCAGGATCCTGGCCCAGCGCCCCCTACATATGGCCTCCCACCCCTCATCCCCACCACACATCCTCTCATCTCCCTGAATGCAGAGGCAAGGGGGCTAAAGGCAGTCCATCCCATATCCCAAAGCCCTTCCCCTGATGAGGAAAGGTAGAGACAGGGAATGGCATGACAGACAGACAGACATTCAACCATGGAGAAGGACAGAAATAGAAAGAAGGGATAAGAGAAGAGACAAAGAGAGAGGTAGACAGAGAACTCAAGAGAATGGAAACAGGAAGACAGAAGCAAAGAGGCAGGAACAGGCTAAGAGAATTGCTCTGGCTTCCTTCTGCCAGGCCGTATTTGGGGATGATCTGGCTGTCTCCAGCCAGCAGGGGAGACCACATGGCCTGTTGGGTTGGCTTTGCCCCCAGTTGTCAGAAAGTTCATCTTCTTTTTAGCCTTAAGCCTTCTTGCTGTGGGAAAACAGCTTTTTGAAACAAGGACCTAGGAACTTGCCTGCCTGGGAGTTGGCTGTATGTGGGGGCAGGGGCCCAGACAAAGACCCCAGAGACAGGGATGTTGGGAGAGGCTGTGGGGAGGCAGCTCCTCTCCTCTGAAACTAGACTCTGTCCATCTCAGCCAAGATTGGGGGCCCTCGTGTGGCATCCCTGGGGATAGCAGTGGCACTGAACCACAGAGCCCTGACTGTGGGCTCCACCCCAGGCGGCAGCTGATGGAACTGTGGGTGATGCATGGGGAGGAGGTTACACCCTCACTTCCCTAAAGCAGTGTGTAGATCAATATGCATGCCACCACAAGACGGGAGGCCAATGTATATATGTATGCCATTATGTGCATGCATGTGCATAGTGTGCATTATAGAAGAGGCATATTTATATATGTGGGGCACTGGATATATGTGTACTGTTAGGTGTCTATAAATCTCATTGGGTGGATATGTATGCATGATTCTATGTATATGTCATTGCATATATGTCTATGTGCCAGTGTATATGTGTATGATGTTATGTGTGTGAGAAATTATCATTGTGTAAGTTTGTAAATTACAGTACACAAGTCATGATATATGCATACGAATGTCATTATATGTATGTGTCATCTTATGCCATTAAACATATTTACACAAGTGTATGAGTGCCATTACCAGAAGGCTGATGGTTCAAACCCACCAGCCACTCCTCAGAAGGAAGGTTAGGCAATCTACTTCTGTAGTGATACTACCTCGGAAACCCAAGGAAGGGTTGCTGTGGGTCGAATCCAACTTGATGGCCGTGAGTTTGGTTTTTTTGGTTTTATGAGGGCCATTATACATCATGTATCCTTGTGTGGATATATATGTGTATATGTGTGTGTGTTTGTGTAACTATGTATTTTATATATATCATTATGTGTGACTGTATCACTATGAGTATGTGTATAGAGCCACTGTGTTTATTTGTTGTGTGAATGTCACTATGTATATATTTAGGTGCTCTTCTGTTTGTGTCTGTTTATATGTATATGTATCTAGGAGCTCTGGTAGCATAGTGCCTAAGGCACTTGACTACTAACCAGAAGGCTGGCAGTTCAAACCCACCAGTCACTCCTGGGAAGGAAGATGGGGCAATCTACTTCCGTAGTGATACTGCCTCGGAAACCCAAGGAGGGGTCGCTATGAGTCGGGTCCAACTCGGCGGCACATAAA